CGGTCCTTAGCGCCGACGAGGCACATTCGCGTGATTGTTGTCGCCCCGTCGCCCCGTCGCTTGAGCGCGAGTAGAGGGCTTTTAGGGTACTGCAGTCGTGCTAGTTTTGGCGCAACCAGCAGCCATGGATCTTGTCAGGAGTTTCGTGAGTGGAGTGAGAGACAGGGGTGAGTGGTGCGATGGGCGAGTGTCTCGAGCTTCTCCCTTTTTCCTTTAACGACTCCTTGCTTTCCCGATCGCAGTCCGTCTGCGCCGCTCAACGACAACCCCGCCGCCGCCTCCTCAAGGTGACAGCAGCCCTGCCCCGAGCAGCTCACACCCTTCTCACCAGCACGAACCCCTAGGCGACCCACCCGGTGCCCAGGACGAGGAAGGTGAAGATGGTGAGTCCAAGTTGAAGGGAAAGGGGGTGGGGGTACAATTTGCCACTTGATAGCCCGAAACTTACAGGGGCGCGTGAAAATTACGATTAGCCAAGCAAACTTCAATGAAGTCGCTCTCTCAGTAGCATTCATATTTTATTCGTTTACCATATGTCCCCTCCCGCAGGTCAACGGAAAGAACCACCCCCTCGTAAGAAGCTTCGGGTATACGGACCGACGAGATACCATGACGAAACAATAAGGGACGTGCCCGAGCTGGAAGCTGAGGCCAAGCCCGAGGTGAAAGTCAAGTCTGAGCGCAATCAGCGAAATGTCGAACGCTCTGCTGAGGCTGCTGAGACACTTATGGTTAAGTCGGAGATCGTCAGCGTCCAACCCCAAAACGACCGAATGGTTCGGCCAACGGTGAAGTCGCAGATCGTTAAGGTCGAACCAAAAATTGAGCCTCAAGCTGACACCAAGAAGGAGCCAGAAGCCGACACCAAGAAGCAACCACAAGTTGAGGGAAAGGAGGAGCTCAAAGTTCAACCCCAGTCCGAGCAAAAGCCCGAACCTAGCAGGCACGGTGAGAAGCGACATGCCAGTTCTGACAAGCCTGATACCTCGCCTGATACAGCCGTAGAGGAGCCAGTGCTGGGCATCGACCTGGGAACCACTAACTCTGTGGTGGCCGTTGTCCAGGATGGCGACGTGGAGGTGCTGCACAACGATATATGTAGCAGGTTGACACCTAGCTGCGTGCACGTGTCCGATGTTCGCCAGGTCGGCGAGGGAGCCCTGCGGCTGGCCGTGACCGACCCGGACAAGACCGTCAGAAGTGAGTAGACCTGAGCCATGCGTGCCCTTACAGGCGCCTTGCCATGCCCGATGTGATCTCTCGTTTGCAGATATCAAGTGCGTCCTCGGGCGGAACTACCAAGACATCATCGAGGACTCCTCCCGGCCCCTCGGTCCAGTTCGAGTGGAGCTTGACTCGGCGACCGGCAATGCATTCGTGGCTGTCGACGAGCATCGCCTCCCGCCTGAAGTGGTGAGTGTCCTGCCTTCACTCGACGACGACGCCCCGCCGAGGACTTAGTGACGGCATGTGGTCTTCCCCTGCAGGTGGCCGCCACGATCCTGGTGGAGCTGAAGAAGGCGGCGGAGGCGCACCTGGGGCGCGCCGTCAGCAAGGCAGTGATCTCCGTGCCGACCTACTTCAACGCGGCGCAGCGCCACGCCGTGAG